TTACTCATTACGTATGCATTAATCATGAAATATACACGCATGGGGGCAATTATCGGATGTAAGAAGTAAGGATCATTGGTACATGGCAGAACGGTAGGAAATAAGGTGGGCGTGGAGTCCTATGCAAAGGCGAGTCAAAAAACTATCATTTTAATATTGGTCATAGTTGTATTCAGAAGCAACATAGATAAGATATTTTCATATGTACTTTTAAAGTAACTCTTCCTGCTTCTTTTTGGTGACACTGGCTTGGTTCTCACTGGATTAGTTTTCATGCATGACTGCACAGGAGACAATTAAAGGGGACATGTAGGTCCTGCCTCGGCCAATGGAGCTTTATACATGGCAGACGTGGTCTAACTTTTTGAAGTGCATTGCTTGTGCTGCACATGGCTACTCAAAAATAATAGAATCAGTATCAGTAGACTTCAATATAAATTTGACGGAGCCTGTGACGTCCTTAGACTTGGAGTTTATGCAACATTTGCTTAGATCATATCTATTTTTTTTCATCTCTGCATGGGCATAAAACAATGCTGATGTCAGCTAACGAAAGAATGGCTCTGGGGTAGACTGTAGAAAATATGATTTTTGTTTTTGCATTAAGATGTGAGAGGAAAATTGGCGAGGTACGATTTCAATCAATCAAAATGGGAAAAGAAATAAGATGATGGATTAGAATGTTAGTGAATGTTCTGTGTGCTTTCGTACAAAACTATCCTTCCGAGGTGATCCCACGAAGATTGGGTTCAATTTTGGACAATGGAACGCACCCTGAAAGGGAGTTATAACGTACCCCTCACTAGATATTCTGCATATTTTCTAGAGATTCCTGATTAATTAAACAAAATCAAATTCAAATGTCACAGTTTGAGAATATATGTTCATTATGAGCAAAGGCAGTAAAAGTAAAAATATTTCATTCACGGAAATGTTTGTATCTAAAGTAACGGTGCGCCGATGATTATGTCCTTAGCTCAGAATAGAATTTTACCAAGCAGAGACAAAAAAGCAATAAACTACTCATTTTCGATGAACATATGTTGCATAAACTCCAGGAGAGGCCCGATAAAGTAGTCTATTATCAATACAGATTATGTCTTTGTTGTATGTGCAGCTATCTATTTGTGAACAACGTATCAATGTTATTAATATTCGTGAGTATTAAGCTGTCGGGAAAATTCAATGAAATCATGTTCAGCAAAGATTTTGTGGACAATTCCAACTTTCATTTCGAATAGGCCTCCGTGATGTTGCGGTAGTCTTTGTCACGGTGACGAGAATGTCAACTAATTGATGTAGTTACTGGCAGTGCAATGATACAGAATGTAAGTTGAAAACGGAAGTCTTTCACCACCGTCAAAGAAATGTTCAAATGTTCGATGGGGGTAGCTTAAACCTGGTCATGATGTCCCCCACCCCCTCCCCGTCCCCGCTGGCTATGCCACTGTATAGTTCAGATTCAAATACAGAATAACAGCTTCTGCAACATATGTTTGTCTGAAAATACATGTTTTATTGGGTTTTTTGAGTTTCTGCATGAGCATAGTAAAATTCCGCTATGAGCTAAGGAAAAAATGATGGTTACTATGTTGGAAACAGTATTTTTCTGTGTTAAAATATGAGAGGAAAACTGTGCCACGATGGTAATCAATTATGACGAACGTAATCACAACATGGACTAGGACACGTGTGATTTAGTCTAGCCTTCCGGGGTTGCCATGTTTTCTCGAGCGTCCCTGCTGCTAGAAAAGCGCCACCTATTTTCTGATGGTGCTCATCGTCAGTTTTGAACAGCACCGCCCCCACCTTTTTTTTTTCGGAAGCCGGCTGACCGTTGATAAAATCCCTGTTTATCTTTCAGCATGGATCAGGCGAGTGCCAAATGTTAACCTCCCCAAACCCCCCTCCCATCAAGATGACCTTGCTATCGTGATTTGGCCGGCGCGACGTAGGCAATTTCGGGCCTATTTTCAGAAATGCTCCCCTAACAGCTTTGGAGTTTATGCAACATGCTCATCTAAACATGGCTTTTAGTCTCCTCTGAGCTAAAATGGTCAAGATGTGAGCTGATAATGTTCGTGTTATTTTTGAGTTTCCCACAGAAACAAATATAGGCCCATACTTTATTTGCTATTTGTATGGCCACGCTAGGGAAATTGCTGCAATACCCCGTGGCAGTGTCAGTGACGTCACTTTCGCCTCTGGAAGCCTCCTGGGCAGGCGCAGTTCTACGGAGGGGGGGGGGGGCTAGCTCCTCCCATCAAATATTCGTGAGAAAGGGGCATTTGTATACTTTAAGGTAATATATAATTGTGCATGATATGGTAGGATTTTATCAGCACTCCACTTTGAAAATATGGTATGAGCCCCCCCCCCCAACCCCCGCCCCACTCCCCCCCCCCCCCCCTTTAATTGATTTTCGGAGACCTAAGAGTCTGGAGAGGAAAAAACGTCCATATGTTAGCACGCCTCCTTGCAAACATTTCTGGATCCGCCCCTGCTAGCCCCCCCCCCCCCCCTAAAATATAGGCTCTAGAACAGCGCCTGCTCCTATCCTGGGGGCGCGATTCACGGCTGGGAAGGGTCGACATCCCGCTCTTTGTTCGTTGAGATTCTTGGAGTCCGACCCACCGTCCAACTCATCGCTACCTCACCGTCCTCTGACCTCCGACCCCGCCAGCCTGACCCCAAGTTGATCCTTTGCTACCTTCTTACATTGGGCCAGTGTAAAAACCAAAGTGCTTTGTGATTCTGCTAGATTTGAGTTATTTTACAATGTTCGTGTTGCCAATACCCTATGCGACATTGTATTAATATATCTGGAGAAAAACACGAAAAGAATATGATGATAAGCTGTGTATATATTATGCAGGGGCATCAATAAATTGCCTCTCAAAAGTGGGGTGGGTGATATGGCTTGATCAGAACTGATGCGAGCGCGCAGCGCGAAGCTTTCGGCGTGGGGTTAAAAAAACAAATGGATTCTTGATGCTCTGTGGTGTGATCTGAGGCAATTTCTTAACACTTCCCTCCATGCTTTAACTAATATTTTCTTAGCAAAAGATAATTATTTGAACATCGTTTTCGAGGTGGAGGTCATTGAATCAGCAACTGGTATTCTGAGCTATAGGCGTGTGGTTCGGAGCCCGCTTAAGGGCCCCTAAAAATGATTCTAGATGCTCTGTGGTGCGATCTGAGGTCATTAATACCACTTTAACCAATATTTTCTTAGCCAAAGATAATAATTTAAGGCATAATTTTCGAGATTTTCTCAGCTAAAGGCATAAGGTTCGGGGCCCGCTTAAGGGCCCACAAAAAAAATTGCATTCTAAATGTTCTATGGTGCGATCTGAGGCCATTTCTGACCACTTTATCCAATAATGATTCTTAGCAAAAGATATTAATTAAACATAATTTTCGAGATTTACTCAGCTAAGGGCATAGGATTCGGGGCCCGCTTAAGGGCCCCGAAAAAAATTGGATTCCAAATGCTCTGTGGTGCGATCTGAGGCAATTTCTGAACACTTTAACCAATATTTTTTAAGCAAAAGATACATGCAGTACATAATATGGCCCTGTAAATGAGACAGAGTTCAAAAATCGGGGGGTGGGGGCATTTGATATTGTGTCCCCCACCCTTCAAAAAGTGTGGGGGGGGGACATGTCCTCTGGTTTCCCCCCCCCCCCCCCCAGGAATGACGCCTATGTATATGTACCGCAACCGCGCCTTATACATGTTATACTAGTGTGAAAGCATATATAAGCGTCAAGCAGGGAGAAATTATTTCCAATGGACTCTAAAATTGATCTCTCGCAACCAACAATATGATAATCATGACCACTCATTCCAAAGTATTAAAATACGCAGAAACAGAGGCAACTATTCATTATTAAAGTCATTCCTAGGATATTAATTATTTTGTGGCCCAGGATGGTTTGTACGGAGGACGAAAACTCCGGTCACACTGACCAGCTCATGGGTCGTATTAAACTGCTTGCCCTCATACTCAAAACCAGAGCCCGAGTTGGGTTGGGCCTCGCTTTTACCGCAAGGCCTCGGCGGTGGCCAGGGGCGCGATTCCCCTGACGATGATTTCGCTAGATATGTAGCCCATATGGACAGTATAGATCTCTTTAAAGGGAATATACAACATTTGCAAACATCGAAAAATAAAACTACCAAGTTTTTACGAAATACCTTACTAGGATGTTGGTAAATGACAGTCTCAAGCATCTTGTAAAATAATGGCACCTGGTGTGAAGTCATTTTCAAGAAAATAATATTTTTGTAAACATTTCCAACGGTGGTCGGCCGACCAGCGTTGGTAAAACCTAACTATTTTTCAACTACTGCTCCAAATTTACCATTTTTTTTTCAGTCCAAATTTTGTTTGCTATTGGTTACATATTCATGAACGGGTGCAGGCCAGCTAGACTGGTTCCCTTGCCTTACAATTTTCCATCATCTATAAATTGATTCATTTTATCTTTTGTGGAGTCAGGGAACCAGACTACTTGAACATTTTTGTTTTTCTTGGTTTTTCCAACCTTTTCGAACACCAAACTTCAAAAATGTCAGTGTAACAATATTTGATCTATTATACTAACCTCTCAAATAGTTCATTTCTGAAAATTACAGCAAAAGCCAATGATGTACATTCCCTTTAATCAGCCCATGTTCGTTGACATGTCTGTGGTTTAGCATGGTGCTCTAATTGAAAAAAAAAATACGTTTTTATTTTCTTTTTATTTTAAGATTGAAGTAAAATTGTAGCATTGCTTCAATAAAAGTGATATTTTCTTTTGCTTGTAGAAGATGTGTTCTCATTCTCTCAAAGCATGGCCTATTATTGTTTGAGCTTATAGCTTTTCCAACCCAAGGGAACACCATGATATTACATCTAGGATTTGAGGCGAGTATTTGACAACACAATCAAATAACAAGGATGACTTTTACTGACAGGCGTTATGAATGAATTCATGAGCACTGATCAACATATTTTTTTCACGCAGGAGTCAATTTATTTTGCCACGAAGCTACAACATTCTCAGTACGTTTCCGAAAGAGGAATCATCAAAAGACGAAAAAAATGATGAGAAATAGCCCACATTCAATTAGTAAGGAATAATTGTAATGTCCTATTTAAAGAACTGGATCTCCTTTCACAGTTAACAAACACCTGTTGTAGGAATAAATTCCATCAACCCATCTAACAGCCTATCCGAGTTTTGCAAGAAAGATGTGCAATATGGCCGAGTATTTTACACAACGACATTTCCTGTTTACATTGATATAACAATTATCATTTTCAAAGGAATAGTATTCTCTCAGATTACATCCTCTGCGACAAGATCAATCACATTTAAACATATTTGTACGCCCAAACTATATAGTAATGGTCCCAACTATAGTTGGGAGGATGTGATATAGTTGGGGCGTAACATATGGCTATTTTATGATGGTATTGCTACGTTGCCGTTACTGTACGTACTGGAATACAAATTTAACGATCGCAACCAAAATGCAGTACATCGCAGCTTTTCTGAACAAGCATTCTAATCTAACCTCAATGTTAGTGGCTAACTCTCAATGTATGTTTGATTTGAAATCACGATAAAGAAGTGTGCCAATTTAGAAATTAACCTTCTTATGTTTCTCTAGGGGTTGTGTTCCGCCCTTTCCTAAAAAAAATCCTCGGATGCAAACGTTTCCATATCCCAGCGCTGCTTAAACGATACATGAAGGATCAGGATTAATATTAATGGATATTTTAAAAGTGGATTTTACCCATCATTATGGATAATGATAACCACGCACCACCGATACCCCCAAAAACCCAAGAACATAAACATTACAGACAGGAACAAAGTTAGATTTAAAACACAGATTTGTTTAACACAACACAGTGGAGATAATAATGAAGTCCGTGCTCGAGCTCATAATTAGTGTCATTTAAATGACGAGAAGAATTTGGACTTGTATGCGTTCTTTTGATTTCAATATCACTCTTTAAATTCACAGTGAGCAGACTTCAGACGTGAACAGCACTGTCACGGAATCAATGGAAATACTGGCTGGAACACGGACCCACTATTGTTAACAAAAGTGAGACAATCTTACCAAGAAAGAAGAAAAATGAATTAATGTCAAATCTTTTTATTGAATCAAAATAAAGCCTTGCTGTCGGTTAACCTTTGTCGATCTGCATGGAGAAAATAAAAGAAAAAACACCATGATTTCTCCAAGGACTAACGATATAGGACGTTTTAGATGACCGAGCGTTTATGCAAGTAGTTAAGAAAGAGGTTTTGCAATCCTACACCTATACTTGAGAAAAGATTACGAAAGTTCACGAAATCGATAATCATGGGCTTACCATGGTTTCATCCGTCCATTCGTGTGGATTGTCAGTTTTACTTGTCGTTTCCATCCCTCGGCCCCCACCAACAATGGCCCTTATAACACCAGTTATAAGTACATTGGTAATCATATGTGCACACTGAAACAGAAACCAACATGGTTGTGAATGACTAGTCCAGAAATATGTGTGCGGACGACCTGTTGACGGAAGCTTTAAAGAGACTGTCCATTCTGTTTACACTCCTCCAGGATGAATTACCATACAGTAAAAGCCTGAAACTTTCTCTTTTTATACCACAAAGAAAAGGGGACCTGTTCCAAATTTCAGATGTCGCTATTTCTCAGACAAATGATCTTGCAAAGATATAACAGTGGAATAAATCCGATTCCAGCCAAATTCAAACACCCCCGGAAAAAAGATTGTTCAATTTATTACTAGGCCCTTTCAACCAGTTCTATTTGAAAGCTATTTGTTTCGCAGGAAGAGTCGTTTGCTTCCCTAAGTTAAACAATAGAATCGACATGACAAATAGTTCGTTCAAATTCAAATGGTATTCATTCAAATTCGTCGGAGACAGTATATCACGAGGTTAATCAAGAATTCAACTTTCTGAATGGACACACGTGTTTTCAATCAATTTTGTTACTGGAGTATTTACTTTCAGATTTCAACGTGTTCCGAGTGAACATAAATTAACCAAAATAATTAAAGAACCCGTTCAAAGAATAACAAGGCAATAAGGCACAAAACGTCTGGTTTTCATTTCCATTGAAGATTCATTAGATTCACTTCTCGAGTTTCAGATTTTTGTTTTAACTGCCTTCCGATTTAAAACAACGCGAACGATTTTTTTATTTTTTTAATGAAGACAAACAACAGGATAGAACTGATTTGATATGCAGCAATTACCGCCAAGAACAACGCTCATCGGTGAAAGGAGAATTGTACACACAGTGTGTGAATAACCAATGTTGACATGTGTAAATGAACCCCGACAGTAATAATTGATTGCCTACAAACGAGGTAGGAAAATACGAAATCTTATGTTCCTAATTCGATGATCGTCAGATATTTCATTGAAAGTAGACGGTCAGAGGTGAACTGTTTCCATAAATGCAATTCGAAGAATGAAGAATACTGTGTGCAAAAAAAAACCCCACGAAATGTAAGAAAACCATTATGATTCAGCACGAAAACTTTCGTGAATATGAGCGATTCTGTGTGAAAGTGAACAAAACTTCGTTGACATTTCCAACCAAAAGAGCAACATTCTGCCTAAGCTTTGATTCATGTCGTAATGCCAAATACTGCGTGAAGTTATTATTACCAAATTAGTACTAAAGACCATCACTGAACCTACTTTTCCAGTGCTGCCTCTTCACTATCTCGCGAGATTCCAGTTCTCGCATGGACTTCTCAGCAAGAAAGTCTGCGTGACATTAAAAAAGGGTGTTGGTGCTGAATTCATGAATTGCACTTAAAGTAACACGAATTGCACTGAAAGATAACAACGACACAATCTTCACAGACATTGAATATAAATAACAGTTGAAATGTCATAGTGTTGAACATTTGTAAATACATCAAACCAAGAAATGGATTTTTTTAAATGCCAAATAAGCCTTGGAACATGCAAGTTTGGTACGTTGTTTGGGGGGGGGGAATCCACAACCACCAAAATGTGGTTCACTTACGTCAAAATTTGAAGAGGATGTGTAAAAAGCAACTGATCATTATGTATCCTAGGTTTTATTTGTCTATATTTAATAAGATAGAACAGCATCAGAAATTAAACAGAGCGATATGAGAAATGTTGACAGTGGATGTTCCTTCCTCTACCATGGAAACTTAAACGTTCATTTTAATGTGTTCATATACAAATATCATAATTATCAAAACTCAAATCAAATATATAAATATAAACTCCAAGCATGACATACGATAGGCCCACGGGGCTGTGCGAATGTGGTTATGTGCGGATACTGCTAGATGTCGGAACCGTAAGAATAATGGAACAGTTGACATAATAACTTACCGTCCGTTTCTGCCAAACCGAAGGCACATCCAACGACCATCAGGAGAAGCAGGCACATGTAAACCTTCATTCTGGCTAATCTAGAAAGTGAGGGAGAAAACGAATGACAGTAAGAAACTGGCAATGATATGGTTGTATCGCCATGTTAGACGACGCGTAAACAAGTGCGAGCATGTAACATAAAATTATGTCATTCCTTTTTTCCCCGCAGATTAATTTGGTTGTTGCGCATTTTCTACTTTTCATGAAGTTCGCACAGAGGCAGCAGTAAAAGTATACATGCGTATATCACTGTATTTATAAATGTAAGTCGTATCAATGTACATCCGTAACAGATTATCGTTAATCATCAACTAATGTAATATTGCCAGGGGGTTTTCTTTCCAAGCAACTGACATATCAATTCTGTCCACTTTTATCCAAAGCTTACATTTCAGGTTGAAACAGACTTGAAAACCAAAGCAAAGTCAGGAGGCGGAAATGCACTGGATGCTTTCAACTTGATGTCTACTGAACGAATGCGCCACAACAGCGCCGAGTACACGTCTTTGTATAGTAGCTGGGTTCAAATGTCACATACCCGTCATTTATTGGCAGTTTTGTTAAAACACGTATGCATACATCTACAGACGTTTCAATTAAAGACTATGTGACTCTAGGGGGCGGTTGTTCATGTTTGAACCCATCATGCACATCCTAAACACAAACAAAACAAAACAAAACAAAACACCCCTCCCCTCCAAAAAGAAAAGAAGTTCGCCAGTGAACCTATTATTATGCATTACTCATTAGATATGCAGTACTCGTAAAATATAACTAATACAAGCATGGGCGCATAGGCGATTATCGGATGTAGGAAGACACGATCATTGGTACACGGCAGAACGGGGGGATGGGGCGTAGAGTCCTATACAGAGTGCGAGTAGAAAAAAAATACCCTTTTATTGGCCACAGTTCTATTATGTACTTTTAGAGTAACTCTTTCTGCTTCTTTTGGTGACATTTTCACTGGATCGGTTTTCATGCATGACTCAGTGCACATGAGACAATTTAAGGGGTCGGGTGAAATCTGACTTGCGCCAACTGGTCAGGGCTGGGTAAGAATGAGACAATTTAAAAGAACACAACCATTGTCTTGGTTCTGGTCATGGAATGCATAATCAGTTCAGATTTGTGTATCTTGATTGTAAGAGTTTCAGTTTAGGCAGGGTTCAAAATTAGCAGTAGTCCGCTAGCCAAATGCTAGTCAAATTAGTTGCGGGCTAGTCAACTATTTCTTAAGTAGCCTGGCTGGCGAGTCAAAAAATTAGTGGGACACGGCAAAGATGAAAAAGGCAGGAATAAATAAATCATTAAATTCAGAAAGCAAACCTGTGTCAATTGGTGTATAATTCATCAACTGTTCAAAAGGGTTGCATTATTAGATTTCTTTAGTAACAACACTGACAAGATTGCCTCAGAATAGATCAGAAATCACTTGGAAATGGGTAAAAACGAATTTTACTGATACTACCTATTTTCGTTAACCTGTTCCAAGGTCGCCCGTATGGATCACGTCTGTTTTCACATCACATACTCGCGTGAGAACGAAAATGATTACGACTCGAAGGTTTACCTGCATAGGACTGCCACGTCGAATGCCATGGGCGTCGCCGGGATTTTTTTCTAGAGGGAGGCAAAGCACATTTCCCCCCCCCCCAAAAAAAAAAATATATATATATCTGCACTGGCCAGCATATTCTCAATTTATCATTTTTTTGAGGGTGGGCAGAGGGCATTTGCCCACCACTTTTTAGATGATAAAAAGTAGTAATTAAGTAGAAAAGTCTGCCAGGAGCAAATGTGGCCCATTGGGCAGCGCCGGCATTTATCTCCGGTTTCAGAGAATATTTCTGTTCCCCCTCGGATGCTAGTCAATCGCAGGTTACTCCCCAGCTAATGTTGGTACCCATTTACACGCCTGTGTGGAGAGAGGCAAGTGGGGGTGAAGTGGCTTGCCCAATGACACAACATATGGCCAGCAGCTGAATTCGAACTCCTGACCCTCTGATCATGAGTCACAAATGTACCCTAACCACACTACCGCACCAAAAAGGAGTTTGCTCACTGCTCGCTATATTGGAAGTTGGTTGCTGCCTCAACAAATAATATAAAAGACATAGTCTAACTTTTGAAGCGCATTTCTGGCGCTGCACATAATATGGCTACCCGAAAATTAAAACGACCTACTTCAATTTGGAGATTGACGGAGCCTCTAAAGTCCTTGGAGTTAACGAAACACATGCCTGTCATCTAAAAATACACGTTTTATGGCTGTTTTGTCTTTGCGCAGACGAAATGAAATGATTTTCGGAATTATCGAAAGAATGGTTCGTGGCCAGACTGTACGATTTTTTTGCATAAAGCAACAAAATATGCTCATTTTCTTTAAAAAGAAAATGCATTTTGTGGCTTTTTGGTCTTTGCAGGGCATAGTAAAAGTTTGCTCTATGCCAACGAAAGAATAGTTCGTGGCCATATTGTAAGGACTCTCCTGCATTAAAGTATGACACGAACTGGTGAGGTGATTACAATAAGTTTTGGCCAAAACAAAAATTGAAAAAGGACTGGCATATCAATATAAAATCCTGGTAAGTAGAGATCGACGGAGCCTCTAAAGGCCTTGGAGTTAATGTAACATACGCTTATCATCTAAAAATACACTTTTTATTGCTGTTTTGTCTTTGCACAGACGTCATAAAATTACGTTTTGAATTATTGAAAGAATGGTTCGTGGTTAGACTGTACGAATCATTAATTTTCTGCATAAGCGATATAATATGCTAATTTTCTAAAAAAAAAAAAAAAAAAAATTGCAGGGCATAATAAAAGTTTGCTCTTTTATTTTTCGTCCCATTTCAATATTCTATAAAATTAGGCAGCATGCTGAACGTCAGTGGGGATTGCAATCGCCTCTCTAAATCTGATACTGTAGAAGGAGGCTTGTTGGAAATGAGAGGGTGAAATTATTGTCAATTTGTCCTTGATGAAAACAGTTGTTCATCCTCGTTTCTACTCATCAATAATAACTTATTTTTTTTAAAGCCAGCCATTCAGTCAAAGTATGAGAAGCAGAAAAAAAGCTGCCTATTATAGGTCTCCTAGGCCAAAAAAAAAGTCTCCGGTTTCTGGTATGGAGCTTGCCCCAAAAGTGGTGCGGCGACGCGTTTTTTTTTTTTTTTTACCTGTTTTTTTTTTTGGGGGGGGGGGCTTCAAATGTCGGCTGATGACTGCAAATGGTGCCCGACTAAACTTAGTGCAAATATATGGGAGTCCAGAGAGGCCACATAAAGCTTATTCTCGATCATAACCCCATCTAAAAACACGTTAAAATTGTGCAGCAGCAGGATTCCAGTCAAAACCAGTGAGTTTGGCGGTTTTGAGACATCATCTTTTATTGAAAAAAAACCTTTTTCATTTTGCCGACGCGCATGGCTACGGCGACGCGCGTGCATACCAGAAACCGGAGACTTTTTTTTTTTTGGCCTCATCTATTTTTTTTTTTTTTTTTTTGGTTCACATTATGACTACTCAAAAACAGAAACAGTGTCGGTAGACTTCAATTTCGAGTCTGACGGAGCCTCTGAGCCCCTGGAGTTTATGTAGCATATGCTTATCATCTAAAACTACATGTTTTTATTATGGCTTTCTTGTTTTTGCAGGGCATAATAAAAATTTGCTCTGAGCCAACGAAAGAATGGTTCGTGGCTACACTGCACGAACTGTTGAAATGTCTCCGTTTCGGTATGAGAGCAAAACTGGTGACTGAGGTACCATTGCAAATAGAGTACATCTAAGTACATATTGTTATTTCACCCACAACCGTGTACACATGTCCAAACTCATGTTAAGGGTCTGTTTATTTTACGGAATGAGACAACTTTTCCGGAAATTTTGCTGCAGGAAAACGGAACGCTACAACAAAATTTCCGGAAAAGTTGTTTCACTAATTCCGTAAAATAAACAGACCCTTAACATGAGTTTGGACATGTGTACACGGTTGTGGGTGAAATAACAATATGTACTTAGATGTACTATATTATGTGTAGTTGTTTGGGCCGATGTGGTTGATTGTTATCACGCTAATTAGCATAAATAATATTTGCATTTACGAAAAGTCCGTATAATTACCTGAAAATACGGAATATTTCACTTTACGGAGTCCGTACATTTACGGGCATTTTTAACAGTGCGCAGTTATGGTGAAAAAAAGGGAGAGGTGTATGGACTAAAATAATTCTTGTTATTTCGCACTGGGGTTGTGAGTGCGTGTGCCCTTGGGCAAAGCACTTAATTTGTCACTCATTACTTCTTCCCACCCAGGTACAAATGGACACATGCGAGGGCAGATATTGTTATTGATTTTAGCTGCCTTGCGCCGAAGTGGCTGCATCGAGCTGTATACTCCCCCAGGAACAAGGGCGGATCCAAAACACAATTTTAGGCCCCCCCCCCCCCGGTTGGCCCCCTCCCCCCCCCCCCAGATCCGCCCTTGGCCGGAGAGCTGATCTTATATTTATAATGTCTCATTTGCCCAATGATCAGGGGTAATGATAATGAAAAGCGCTTTGATCTTAGTTAAAAGCGCTATGTAAGTACCCATTATTATTGTTCATTACAAATACTTAAAAATTCACCAAATCAATTCGTCTCCAATTTTAAAAATCAATGTTTTTCCTCTGTGAAGTATAGGCCAGTGTTTTCCTTTCATGGATTGCGGTAAAATGTTAAACCATCCGTAAACGCACACATTTGGAGATAGAATTTGATATGCCCTTTCAAAATGAAGCTTGGAGCCATGGGCGTCGCCAAGATTTTTTCTAAATGGAGTCAAAGCACAATTTTTCCCCCAAAAAATTCAAGTACTTTTCTAGCATATTCTCAAGTGATTATTTTTTCGAGGGTGGGCAGGGACATGTACCCACCACCTCCATGAAATTAACAGCAATGTCAATGTTTTTCTTTCTTGTTCCCCCCCCCCCCCTCCCTTGCGTCGCCAGGATTTTTTTGTAGCGGGGGCAAAGCAAATTGTTGCTCCAACATCTTTTTACACTCACTCTCCAGCATATCCTCAATTGACGCCTATTTTGTTAAATGTGTATTAAATAATAGCAAATATGACTTCACACTTCTTTTTCTTTTCTTTTTTTCTTTCTCCTTCCCCCTTTTTGAGAGGGGCTTTTCCGGGGGGGGGCCTCAAAGCGCCCCCCCCCCCTTCGCTTCGCACATGTCGAATGCAACACCAATAAAAACTGGAAACGTTGATGCTCACTTTGAATGAGATTAGTGCGGAATTTTAAATTAGAATTTTAAAGGGAATATACATCATTTGCTTTTGCTGTAATTTTCAGAAATGGATGGAATTGTGGGGTTGGAAATATATATCAAATATAGTTACACTGACTTTTTTGAGGTTTTGGGTTAAAAAATGCTATAAAAACCAAAAAAAAAAATCATTTTCCTGTATTCTGGTTCCCTGACTCCATTTAAGAAAAAACAGAGCAGTTT